AAGAACAACCTGGAAGCCCATAAGAAAAGCGGCCTGCCGAATCATCGCCGATCAAAACAGTGGCCGTGAAAAACAAGGGTCGGCGATACTCGAGCAGCCTCGCACAATTTCGGTCCATCGGCCCAGCATCCCAGGGCCGGCCAGCAATGACGGGTACCAAAAGCACCCCAAGAAGGGGCTAAACCTTCTCGGAAAATTCTGGGAAAGTCGCTGCCCTCCGCAGGAGAGGGACGAAGGCCGCCAAGATCGACCCCGACGAGAGATTTCCCGAGCACCTGGCGCGGAAAAACACGCCGGAACTGCGGACCGTCGGAGGCGCGGACCGCGGGCGCATGATGCGCCCGTGCGCCACGCTCGAAAATTCGAGCGCGCGGGAACGGGCCTATCACCCCTCTCGATGGGGTGCGGGGCGATTATTTAAGGATAAATAGAGCGATTTCGAGAGAAGTAGGGACTTGTTCTGCGAAAGTTTTCAGAGAAAGTGAAGAGAGAGTATCGCGAACGCTCGGCACGGAAAAAGACGACGTGGCGGAAGCAACGAGAGACGAGTTCAACGGTGAGGTCACCCGGCTATCTAGAGTTTTATTTCGAAAATTTGTACGGCGTCCACCGGTACGGCTCGCGAGTCGACCCCTCTGGCCGGTCGCGATTAGAGTTTCGTTTGCGTAAATTTCGCGATAGTGAGAAGAAGTCGAGTGCGACCGTAGTCAAGGGGCGACAGTGATCCGTCGAACGGTCTCACCCGATATACTCGTTCGCCTCTCCGTTATCCGTGTGACGCGCGCTAAGTGCAGAATTTTGATCTCGAGGCTATCGCCGGTCGAAGTGGAGCGACTCCGACCGATCGTAAGTGCTGTCGACCGCCACCCCAGGGGAAACGTTCCGCGACAGTTTGAGCGGCAAATTGGTGAGTACCTTGGAAATTGTGACAGCGGACCGGAAGTTGCGCGACCCGAAACGGGCCTCGATTCTCGACCATCTCTCTCTCTCTACGTGCGTTTTCTCTTTTTTGTTGCGCCTCGCAGTCCGCTAACAGCGGACGTGCGAATAATCGGCTGTCGGAGGCATAAGCTGTCGACACCCGCCGTGCCGTGCGTGCACCGGCGGGAACGCCTTATTGTTGCGATACGCGAATTCTGCGTTTCGATCGACTAGAGATTGCCGTTCTTGCAGTAGTTTACATCGTCTTGGCGTTATCTCGGCTACTGCAATTAAATAAAATAAAGTATCAAATGTTCATGTATGTTTTCGGTAATTCTGAGATCTCGTACTTCTTTCTGTGTTGCGTACTCGTAATAGCGCGCTTCGTTCAGTTCTCCGAAATCGTAAACGCTCACGCGCTTCTTTTCGTTCTTCGTAATTGCAAGCGCTCGCGCCTTTCTTTCGGTTCTCAGTAATTATCATATTCAGGGCGTTTCTCTCTATTCTCCATAATAATAGAGTTTCGCGCATTCGAGTCTGTTTACCGTAATTATAAAGCCTTGCGTATTTGACTCGGTTTACCACTATTAGACCGTCTTAGCTTTCTTTTCGATTAGTTATCTCGAGCGAACATTTGCGGTGAATCAAGGCTCATTATTCCGGTTATTTTCGATTGTATTTTATACGTCATTTGGTTGTTGTTAATCGAAGTATTGCGAACCTTGTTTCGATCTGATTTGTCATTCGATTGGATTTTTATATTTTTCTCTCATTTGTTATTCTTTTTTATTATTAATAAATCTGTTATATTGTCTAGTTCAATTCGCGTAATTTATTTGGATGTTCGTCCCCTGTGGTCATAGATATCCGTTTGTGTGTCTCTCGCGCCTCGAATTAATTAATTGCCTCGCTCGAAGAACCCCTCCCCTCTACCGTTAGGCGAGCTAGTCAGCCCGTGGCGAAGGAGGCGATCATCTTTCGCGCTGTTTAAAAATTCCATAGAAAAACTGATGCGTGAAAGACCGCATCTGGCGCCCAACCTATCGAGATATCGAACTGCCTCCGCTCCGCCGCGGCCCGCGCGAGCACCCTTCATCCCTGTTGCTCCGAGCGCGGAAATCGCATATTCCTCCTGTGTTTGACGGCGTTCTATCCGACCAAAATTAGAACAAGGAAGGAGAAAAACGTCGCAGTATATATATAACAGTAGCGCTCAAAGGTATTTTGACAACAAGAAATTCTTTATTATTACGCGTTACATAGTGCTAAATAAAAAACGTTTAGTTTATCGTTGAGTGTGATGTGATTGCAGGTCATAAGTAAACAACAAGTTTGAACTTGTTTGTTTATAGTTGTTCGGGATCGCGCTTTCGATTCGCGAATTTTGTAAGACCGGGTAAGCGCGATTGAACTTTGCCGGCACATACCCGCGGGGGTATCGCAAGCTCTCTCAGTGCGTGATCGCGTAAGGAATACTTGATAGGAATGAAATGATCTGCAGTTGCGACTTAATGTGTTACAGTAAGACCGGTGAGCGAATTACTGTCCGTTTATTGTTAAAGTCACAAAATGATACACATTTGCTGGTCTCAAGACGCGATGTAGGGTGAGAGCGCACCACTACGCGGATCGCGTGAGAGCGAGCGAGACAGCTATCGATCAGCTGTTCGCGAGATCGAGCGAGACGGCGCTATATCGGCCGTTCGTTTGAGAGCGAGCGAGACGGCGCTCTATCAGCCGTTCGCGTGAGAACGAGCGAGACGGCGCTCTATCAGCCGTTCGCGTGAGAGCGAGCGAGACGGTGCTATATCGGCCGTTCGCGTGAGAGCGAGTGAGACGGCGCTATATCGGCCGTTCGCGTGAGAGCGAGCGAGACGGCGTTATGCCGCTCGGATAAGAGTTTGAGCGAGACCGCACTATACACGTCAGTCCGCTGGTCCGATATAGATAGAATGAATATTGCTATCTGCGAATACGCGAACCGCACTGTTCACGACTTGACACAAATGCGAGAGAGACGGCGTTATGCCGCTCGTACTAGAGTTTGAGCGAGACCGCACTATACACGACTCGCCACGAATGCGAGAGAAACGGCGTTATGCCGTTCGTCCTAGAGTTCGAGCGAGATCGCACCATACACGACTCGCCACGAATGCGAGAGAGACGGCGTTATGCCGTTCGTACTAGAGTTCGAGCGAGACCGCACTATACCCGTCGGTTCGCCCAATTTTGAGATAGATAGCTGACTTGTGGCTATCTATGAATACGCGAAACCGCACTGTTCACGGCTCGCCACGAATGCGAGAGAGACGGCGTTATGCCGCTCGTACTAGAGTTCGAGCGAGACCGCACTATACACGTCGGTTCGCCACGAATGCGAGAGAGACGGCGTTATGCCGCTCGTACTAGAGTTCGAGCGAGACCGCACTATACACGTCGGTTCGCCACGAATGCGAGAGAGACGGCGTTATGCCGCTCGTACTAGAGTTCGAGCGAGACCGCACTATACACGACTCGCCACGAATGCGAGAGAGACGGCGTTATGCCGCTCGTACTAAAGTTCAAGCGAGACCGCACTATACACGTCGGTTCGCCCAATTTTGAGATATATAGCTGACTTGTGGCTATCTATGAATACGCGAAACCGCACTGTTCACGGCTCGCCACGAATGCGAGAGAGACGGCGTTATGCCGTTCGTACTAGAGTTCGAGCGAGACCGCACTATACACGTCGGTTCGCCACGAATGCGAGAGAGACGGCGTTATGCCGCTCGTACTAAAGTTCAAGCGAGACCGCACTATACACGTCGGTTCGCCCAATTTTGAGATATATAGCTGACTTGTGGCTATCTATGAATACGCGAAACCGCACTGTTCACGGCTCGCCACGAATGCGAGAGAGACGGCGTTATGCCGTTCGTACTAGAGTTCGAGCGAGACCGCACTATACACGTCGGTTCGCCACGAATGCGAGAGAGACGGCGTTATGCCGCTCGTACTAAAGTTCAAGCGAGACCGCACTATACACGTCGGTTCGCCCAATTTTGAGATAGATAGCTGACTTGTGGCTATCTATGAATACGCGAAACCGCACTGTTCACGGCTCGCGGGAGAGTGAGCGAGACGGCGCTCTATCGGCCGTTCGCGTGAGAGCGAGCGAGACGGCGATCTATCAGCCGTTCGCTTGAGAGCGAGAGAGACGGCGCTTGGTCGGCCGTTCGCGTGAGAGCGAGAGAGACGCCTAGTTCGCTTGAACGGAGCTGCGGTACGACGAAGGCTCCGCCTCTTGCCGAGAGTGGAGGCGCTCCGAAAGATCCCGGCACTCGCGTTTGAACTGTTCACGTGCACTGCGGACACGATTACTGGCGCGCACAATGTTACTTCGCGAAACGGTTACAATGATTGAGGCTCGCGGTTGAAAGATTTCACACGCGTGAGACTAATGAAACGAATCTTAACTTTGCTCGTTAAGATTATCGCGAACTCTCGAATTTGCACTAATTTTACTCTCCGTATGACGCTCCGATCACTATGATGGAAAACGGAAGACTCTCGGGGAGAAAGCCTTTCTCCCGATAGATAAAGATTTGATCACGGATCGTATGATCGGACCTCGACGTATCCCTGATCATTACGTCAGATCGCGTGATATATAAGCCTGTTTATTGGCCAGGACCGTGTATTATTTCGCGTGATCACGCGGATCCTGGATGATTTTTGAAAAACAGTAACGGCGTACGTAAACGCGGGTTCGATAGTGCGCAAACGGATGGCGCTAGTATGACCGGGGGTAATAATTTTATGCGCGATTCAGGGCGAATCCTTAACATACCGCCCGCCTCGAAATTATAATTTCGAAAGTAAAGAGTTATCGGATGCCGCCCGCCGTGAGCGACTGATATCGCATCGGAGCGATTTTACAAGGTTATGAATACATATGTACATATTTACAGGAACGCAGATTTACATATTTACATTATTACAAATTATTAGTATATACATATGTACATCGGTGTATTTACATATTTACATGCGTCCGCTTTGACGTATTCACGTCTTGAATTGTGGCTGCGTGAACCTCAATTATCGCTCGGAGAACCGTTAGTCGAAGACTCGATATCGATGGGTAGTACGCATAGCTTAACTATCGGCCGTTTATATTCAGAATGAGCGGTGCGCACGGTAACGACGCGAACGTATCCGTCGGATCCGAGATGACATTGTGTGATCCGACCTAGCTCCCATTTGCACGGCGGAAGCAACGGATTACGAATTAATATCATTAAGCCAGGCTTCACAGACGGTTGTACTTGCTTCCATTTAACTCGCTGTTGTAAAGTATTGACGTAATCGCTCTGCCAGATTTTCCAAAACTGCTCTGTCAATTGACGAATTAATTGCCACCGCGAGAGTCGACTTTCATTTACGGAGAGAATGGACGGTTCGGGATTCACCGTGATGGGAGATCCGATTAAGAAATGCCCCGGTGTAAGGGGGTTATAATCGTCGAAAGTATCTGTAAGCGGACCGATGGGCCGAGAATTGAGGCAAGCCTCGATGCGGCATAACAGAGTAGAAAATTCCTCATACGTGAGAGTGTGAGGGCCCAAAATTCGTCTAAGATGATGCTTGACACTGCGAACTCCGGCCTCCCAAAGACCGCCGAAATGCGGAGCATGGGGAGGAATGAACTGCCAGCTAATGTTATCGGTGGCAATTTTGCTCTGGAACTCGGGGTTGCGCATTGCGCTCTGATAAGCTTTTGTCAATTTAGCGTCGGCTCCTGCGAACGTCGTACCGTTATCAGAGTACATTGTGGAAGGTAAACCTCGGCGAGCACAAAACCGAGAAAAGGCGTTGAGAAACGCTTCGGTGGAGTAATTACTGGCTAACTCCAAATGAATTGCTCTGGAGGCCAAGCAGACAAACAACACAATGTAACCCTTTCGGGACGTAATGCCGCGACCTGCGGATGCGCGAGTAAAAATGGGGCCCGCGTAGTCCACTCCAGAATGGCTGAAAGCTCGAGCGGGTGTGGAGATTCGAGCTTGTGGAAGGTCGCCCATTAGCTGTGTCGGAACTTCTGCTCTTTCTCGGGCGCATGTAACGCATTGATGTATGATTTGCTTGACCTGAGTTCGCGCTTGGAGAATCCAGTAGTCTTGGCGTATTGTTGCTAATGTCAATTGAACGCCTGCGTGTAATGCTCGAATATGAGTGTGTCTGATGATAAGTTTGACTAATGGATGCGGAGCTAGAAGTATCGGATGCTTCGTAGCGAATGAAAGATTGGAATGTTTTAGACGACCGCCGATTCTTATTAAATGATCTTCATCCAGGAAAGGTCGAAGCATAGCTAACGCTGATTTTGATGGAAGTGATTGCTGTTTCTTGAGAGCGTCCAATTCGTCACTGAAAACGTCTGACTGGATTGATCTAATCCAAAATTTGCGTGCGGTCTGAATTTCACTTGCCGTCAAAGATTGGCTTTGCACCTCTGAGTCAGTTGAAGTTTGATCTCTCTTTCGGCATCTGGTTGCGAAGCGGATAGTATATGCTGTAATTCTGATTAGCTTCGGCCACGTGGAGTATCTTGTGGCTAAATCCCAGCCAGAATTTGTTTGAGCTACGTGTACTATAAGTTTCCGATTTTTCTCAGGCGCTTCTTCCAGCGGAGGAGCGGGATCTCTTGGCCATTTGGTCTGAGTTAGTTTGAGCCAGGGAGGACCGTGCCACCACAAGTTAAAGGCGTTGAAATCGGAATGTAGAATACCTCTCGAAGCACAATCGGCTGGGTTATCCGCGGATGGAATGTACCGCCATTTAACTTCAGGTACTCGAGATTGGATATCTGCGACTCGATGAGAGACGAAAGTTTTCCATCTGGACGGATGTGAGTTTAACCATGCCAATACTACTGTAGAGTCCGTCCAACAATGACACGCGACGTTTGACATCTGGAGTGAGGATTGCGTGAACTCGATCAACCAAGCAAGAAGGCATGCTGCTTGTAATTCCAGTCGAGGGATGCTTGTGATCTTGAGTGGCGCGACTTTCGACTTGCCCGCTAATAATGTGATCTTTATCTCTCCTGATTGCGAGGTCGTATGCATATAAACTGCGGCGGCGTATGCCGCGTTAGATGCATCTGCAAATCCGTGTAACTCGCATAAAGCAGTATTATCATCTTGACATGTCCATCTAGGAATCTGTAAATTATTTAAGGCCGATAGGTTGTGGTATATTGATTCCCAGCGCTGAAGTGTTTGTGACGGAATGGCGTCGTCCCAGTTTAATTTTAATCTCCACAAATGTTGCATGAAGATTTTCGCGTTGATCGTAACGGGGGTGACCCATCCTAATGGATCGAATAATCGAGCGATCGTTGATAGTATCTTCCTTTTCGTATCTGGAAGTGTCGGTGAGAGATCCACGCGAAATTGAAAAGTGTCATAGGCGGGATTCCATGTTAATCCCAGAACACTGAAATTTTCTTCGAAAGTTAGCCATCTGTTTCCGGCGAGTCCGTGACATTCTTCCGGAATGTCTGCTAGTAATGCGGAGTTGTTGCTGGCCCATTTTCGTAAAGTAAATCTGCCGCGAAACAGCAGAGAGCAGAGTTGTTCGCGGACTTGACGCAGCACTGATAGGTCATTGGCTCCGAAAAGAACGTCATCAACGTAAATATCATCTTGAAGAATCGGAGTTGCAAGGGGAAATGCGGCTCCTTCGTCTGTTATCAATTGCTTGATCACTCGTAAAGCCAGGAACGGAGCTGACGCGGTTCCATACGTAACAGTGGACAATTGATAATCCTGAATGTCCGATTGATCCTGATTATGGTATACCAGACAATACGTTGATAGTCACGATCACGAGGGTCGACCAAAATCTGTCGGTACATCTTGGCAATATCCGCCATGTAAACATACTTATGTTTCCGCCATCGTAATAAGATCGCCGTTATTTCCGTTTGTAATTTAGGCCCGATCTCTAAATGTGAATTTAACGATGTACCGTTTGTTGTGAGGCTGGACGCGTTGAACACGACGCGCAGTCTAGTGGTAGCGCTCGTTGCGCGGATCACAGGATGATGCGGAAGATAAACCGCCGGTGAATGAGATGCGGTTGGAGGATGCACTCTTTTCATGTGTTTTAACTGCTCGTATTCTTCAAGAAACGCTGAATATTCCGATTTGAGATCTGGATTCGTATCTAGACGCCTTTTTAATGCTGTTAGTCTCCGTATAGCTATTGATCTAGACTCTCCGATGTCGATAGGGAACTTCGTCTTAAACGGCAGACGAACCACGTAACGCCCGTCGGAAATTCGTGAGTGAGTCGTAAGAAAATGTTTCTCACATTGTTCTTCGGCAGGAGACAAAATGTTATAGCGTGGGATCTCTTCGATTTCCCAAAAACGGCGTAACTCACGCTCGATTGAGCAATGAAAGACGTTAATCGTTTGAGCCAAAACGTTTGGATTCTGAGCGAGTCCAGAGATAATCCATTCAAAATGAGATCGCTGGGCGATAGGTTGCCCGATTGGACCTTTCCGTATTCCATTCGTAATGATTTGACTGTAAATGTCGGCGCCGATGATTACGTCAATAGGGCTTGATCCTGTGGGATCGTCGTCTGCTAACTTGAGTGTACTTATATGTCTCCAATCCGATACTGAGACTGATAATCGCGGCGCGTATTTAGTAAGCGCATTTAGAATATACGCGACCGTAGTGAAAACTGGCTTAGGCTTTCCGCGAGGTGCGAGTTCAATGACAGCGGAATGTCGACATGTATCCGCATTGATACCGCCGACTGCGGAAATTTGAGCGAAAATTCGTTTCCGAGTTAACCGCAAGATTCTTGCTAATCTTGCTGAAATAAAAGTGACCTCTGACCCTTGATCGATCAGGGCGCGAGCTTCACAGACGCGACCGTCGGGAGACCGAACTGTTACTTTCGCTGTGGCCAGTAATACGGATGACACGGGCGTACTTGAACATACGGCGGACATCGCGACGGTTTGCGATGGCTCGAGATTATCAATAGTTGCGCTGGTGCTAGACGTGTTCGCTCGTGTAACGTCTAGATCGCTTGAAGAGGCCGAATCAAGATGCAAGAGAGAATGATGCCTTTTTTGACAAATGCGACATGTATTTTTACTTTGGCAGTTTTTTACGGAATGTTTCGTTCCGAGACAATTGAAGCATAGATTTGAATTCTTGACAATTTCGCGTCTCTGATTCGGACTCTTAATTACAAATTGTTGACACCTACTAAGATAATGCGGTGTCTTACAGACTGGACACGGACCGGAAGATTGACGCGCGAAGGTCGCAGTGTTCGCTTGAACAGTATGTCGACCTTTGTTCGCAGCGGAAGGAGCTAATTCCTCTAATGCGAGCGCACGCGATGATATAAACGTAATCAAGTCTTCGTAATTCGGCGGAGTCGATTCCGATCCGGTTTTGAGTTTCCATGCGCGACGAGTGGCGGAGTCAAGCTTGAGCGATACAAAATAGACTAAAATGTCATTAAGTATATCCTCTTGGGTTCGGTTTAACCGCTTTAAGGCTGAAAGCGCTCGATCGGCTTTATCTCGTAAAGCGTGCAAGTCCGCGGCACATTCTTTGTTAACCGAAGGTAAATTGTATAATTCAGCAATGTGAAGTTCAACAAGTTTACGTTTATTTTCAAAACGAGAAGTTAATGCTTTCCAAGCGACGTCAAAATTATCAGCGGTAACAGAAGTACCCGCTACAACATCGCGAGCTTTATCGGTCAAGCTTGAGACCAAAAAATGCATGCGCGCGAAATCGGATAATTCGGGATTCTTTATGATTAACGCAGTGAATCGATCGCGAAAAGTTTCCCACTCGTCGGCTTTACCGGAGAACGGTGGTAATTGAATTGGCGGTAAATGTCTCAATGATAACGCGGATTCCGACTGTATATGAGATACAGATCGGTCGCTTGATTGGAGCGGACTCACGCACGGTTCCAGTTCCTCCAAACAGTCAGACATGTAGTCTAGTGCTGTCAAGTAGATTTCCTGGTATTGATCCAGTTGCTCGTCTCGGAAATAAGCGATGAGATCGCGTTTTGATTCCGGATAATGTTGCAGCAACAGGCGATGTCCTTCCAGGCAATTATTCCACGTTTCCTTGGGTGATGTCATTCGGTTTCGTATCTTGGCGGAGGTGAGATTATTCCGGCCAATTTTCTTGAAATTGTCCAGTGCTTTCGCTACGAAGCGTAGCGTCGAAAGCTGATTTTCAACTAATTCACTCATTGTCACTGACAGTAGTCAAAACTTTCAAATTCACTCACAGTATTGTTATCACGCTGACTTCGAGCTCTTACGATCCGGCTCGAAGGACCAAAATGTTCGGGATCGCGCTTTCGATTCGCGAATTTTGTAAGACCGGGTAAGCGCGATTGAACTTTGCCGGCACATACCCGCGGGGGTATCGCAAGCTCTCTCAGTGCGTGATCGCGTAAGGAATACTTGATAGGAATGAAATGATCTGCAGTTGCGACTTAATGTGTTACAGTAAGACCGGTGAGCGAATTACTGTCCGTTTATTGTTAAAGTCACAAAATGATACACATTTGCTGGTCTCAAGACGCGATGTAGGGTGAGAGCGCACCACTACGCGGATCGCGTGAGAGCGAGCGAGACAGCTATCGATCAGCTGTTCGCGAGATCGAGCGAGACGGCGCTATATCGGCCGTTCGCTTGAGAGCGAGCGAGACGGCGCTCTATCAGCCGTTCGCGTGAGAACGAGCGAGACGGCGCTCTATCAGCCGTTCGCGTGAGAGCGAGCGAGACGGTGCTATATCGGCCGTTCGCGTGAGAGCGAGTGAGACGGCGCTATATCGGCCGTTCGCGTGAAAGCGAGCGAGACGGCGTTATGCCGCTCGGATAAGAGTTTGAGCGAGACCGCACTATACACGTCAGTCCGCTGGTCCGATATAGATAGAATGAATATTGCTATCTGCGAATACGCGAACCGCACTGTTCACGACTTGACACAAATGCGAGAGAGACGGCGTTATGCCGCTCGTACTAGAGTTCGAGCGAGACCGCACTATACACGACTCGCCACGAATGCGAGAGAAACGGCGTTATGCCGTTCGTCCTAGAGTTCGAGCGAGATCGCACCATACACGACTCGCCACGAATGCGAGAGAGACGGCGTTATGCCGTTCGTACTAGAGTTCGAGCGAGACCGCACTATACCCGTCGGTTCGCCCAATTTTGAGATAGATAGCTGACTTGTGGCTATCTATGAATACGCGAAACCGCACTGTTCACGGCTCGCCACGAATGCGAGAGAGACGGCGTTATGCCGCTCGTACTAGAGTTCGAGCGAGACCGCACTATACACGTCGGTTCGCCACGAATGCGAGAGAGACAGCGTTATGCCGCTCGTACTAGAGTTCGAGCGAGACCGCACTATACACGTCGGTTCGCCACGAATGCGAGAGAGACGGCGTTATGCCGCTCGTACTAAAGTTCAAGCGAGACCGCACTATACACGTCGGTTCGCCCAATTTTGAGATAGATAGCTGACTTGTGGCTATCTATGAATACGCGAAACCACACTGTTCACGGCTCGCGGGAGAGTGAGCGAGACGGCGCTCTATCGGCCGTTCGCGTGAGAGCGAGCGAGACGGCGATCTATCAGCCGTTCGCTTGAGAGCGAGCGAGACGGCGCTTGGTCGGCCGTTCGCGTGAGAGCGAGAGAGACGCCTAGTTCGCTTGAACGGAGCTGCGGTACGACGAAGTCTCCGCCTCTTGCCGAGAGTGGAGGCGCTCCGAAAGATCCCGGCACTCGCGTTTGAACTGTTCACGTGCACTGCGGACACGATTACTGGCGCGCACAATGTTACTTCGCGAAACGGTTACAATGATTGAGGCTCGCGGTTGAAGGATTTCACACGCGTGAGACTAATGAAACGAATCTTAACTTTGCTCGTTAAGATTATCGCGAACTCTCGAATTTGCACTAATTTTACTCTCCGTATGACGCTCCGATCACTATAATGGAAAACGGAAGACTCTCGGGGAGAAAGCCTTTTCCCGATAGATAAAGATTTGATCACGGATCGTATGATCGGACCTCGACGTATCCCTGATCATTACGTCAGATCGCGTGATATATAAGCCTGTTTATTGGCCAGGACCGTGTATTATTCGCGTGATCACGCGGATCTGGATGATTTTTGAAAAATAGTAACGGCGTACGTGAACGCGGGTTCGATAGTGCGCAAACGGATGGCGCTATATGACCGGGGGTAATAATTTTTATGCGCGATTCAGGGCGATCCTTAACAATAGTAGGCGCTGAATGACAAACATTCCATATCTTGCGCTCAAAAGTATTTTGAGAAGTCATTTAGTTTCGAGTTTTCCAAAGCGGTCGGTTGTAGTATTACTTGATTTGTGTTTATATCAATTATTGTGATTCTTTTAAACATGCGAAGCATAAAGAATATTCCACTGACTTTTAAAAAGCTGTTATAAACCGCTCTAAAACAAGGGAAAAACAAAGCAGAAGTTGCACGTAATTTTTGTCTCGGCAGCTTGTTAGTATATGAATAAGTGTCAATAAACGAGGAACTATCGAAACAAGTCCCGAAGTGGCCGTCCGAAAAAAACAACTCTTGCTATTGATCGCATAATAAAAGACTATCCGCTAGTGATGTTCGTAAGTCCGCCAGTAGCAATAAAAAACGAACTGAAAGAAAATTACGACACGGATATTCATGTTTCAACCGTTAACGTCGTCTAATGTCTTATGGATTACACGGCCGTCGACCAACAAAGAACTATATATAAATTTAATTAATAATCGCAGTTTTAAGTTTTTTTCTTTTTACTTTCTTTCTTTTTTATAATTTGCATTGGACTGCTAATCGCAGCCTTCAATTAAAAAAAAATATTATATAAGAAACATGAGTGACGGACGAATACGGTTAAGTGGAAGTCAGTACAAGAAACGAAGTTGGATAAGGCTGAGGAGAACGTAGTGTCGTAGAAAAACTCTTAAAATTGATAGTTTTTTTACTCAACCTAAAGTTGTTAATCAACTAAATAACTTTGAAGAACCAGCAATTCCCATTGCTGGTTCTTCAAAACAGCTGCTTCCCATTATTTGTTCGAATAATATCAAAGAAATTGTACCAACAGCGTGTGACATAGACCCTAATTCTAATTTCACCTCAAAGTCCCCAGAGTCAACTACCTCGTCTTCTATGATTAATCTCAATCAAAAGTAATAATTTTGCAGTTAGTTCTAATGTGATTGTAAAGGATCCAGCTTTATGGGTAGTAAATGATGCTACAACGTGAATACGTTTTTGCAGCATGGAATTAACCAAGATGTTCATGATAAGAATTTTTGATTTTTCCCCTAAAGAGACTTTGTGGTAAGCAATATCGATATTTAAATGAATCTTTATTTAAAACCCAACTTGTCAATGGCCAAATAGTAAAGCGATCGTATTTAATGTACTCAGAAAGTTCTGGTTCAGTGTTCCTTTGTCAATTATTTGGTGGAACACAAAAATAGCAAAGAAGGATTTGACGACTGGAAGCATGGTAATGATGCATTGAAAAATCACGAGAATTCTTTTGAACACAAGTCGTGTGTTTTAGAAATGAAAATGAGATCAAACACTCTTGGAAAATTGATACACATTTTTCTTATCAAATAGACACAGAGAAAAAGTACTGGCGCAACGTTTTTAAAACGGGTTTGTAGCCACTTGTCCGTGCTTGGTAACTGCAGGTTTACCTTTAAGGGGTCATATCGGAGAAGTTTGGTTCGTCAAGCAGTGGTAACTTTATAATGTGTCTTGAACTTATTTCTGGAATTTGATCCTTTTTTGGCAGAGCATATAGCTAAGTACGGTAATCCAGGTCAAGGCCACACTTCGTACTTATCTTCTACTACATATGAACAGTTCGTTAAGTTAATGGCTGAAAAAGTAACGAAACAAATAATTAAAGAATTAAAGAGTGCCAAGTATTTTTCCATTATAATAGATTCAAGTCCAGACATATCCATACCGATCAACTTGCAGTGATTGTGAGATATATTCTGGAAAATGAAAATCCTGTAGAGAGGTTTCTATGTTTTTGTTCCGAATGCTGGTCATAAATCAATCAAACTTTTTTATGCTGTTGTTACTGTGCTTGTGGCTTTTGATATCGATATTGCAAATTGTAGAAGTCAATCATATGATAATGCCATGAATATGTCTGGAAATAATGCCGGATTACAAGCTAGAATTAATGAAATTTCTCCAAATTCTATATACTCTCCCTGCTTCAGCTCATTCCCTGAATTTAGTTGGAAACAAGCAGCAAGTTGTTGTAAAGAAAGTAATGACTTTTTTCTTTCTTCTTTCAAAATTTGTATGTATTTTTTTCCAAGTTCTACTAAATCGCTGGAAAATATTACAGAGACATTTAACTCAACGTGAAAACAGAACTCTAAAAGGCTTGTCACAAACACGAATGGTCAGCCCGTTATGACGCGTGTCAGAGTCTTAATAAAGATTGGAATGAAGTGAATTGAAGCTCTTAACATCAATTGCGAGAGGAATGAAACAGAAAAATCTTGTAATCGATGTGAAGCTTCAGGTAACCTCCGTCAAATTACAACGCCTTGAAACAGCTATTCTTTTTCAGTATGGGATAATGTAATTACAGAGACTTTATTTTTCTAGCAAGGAAGCTCCAAGCAAGCTGACATGATCTTTATACTGTAGCAGAACTATACGGTTCACTAATAAACTATGTTGAAAGTATTAGGGAAGCTTTTGATACCTACGAAATGCTGCTCTTAAAAAATCATTTATTACAGAGTATGAAGATACATCGAAAAGAAAAGGATAAGAAAACTTCAAGACGACGAATCACGAAATTTGAAACCGAATTCATTGGGCGAGAATACTTTTAAAATCAAATAACTTTTATGTCATAGTTGATAGAATAGTTGCCAGAGTTAGAACGAAAAGCAGTCTATGAAAAGTTGAGGCACGAGTTTTTGGGGTTTTTTTAACTAAATGGAATTAAACAATGGATGATAAACTATTGCAAAAATGCTGCCAGAAGTAATGAAATATAAAGAAGACTTGCCAGACTCAGAATCGTTTCAAAATGAATGTCTCCATTTCTTTGGATTTTAAAAAAATTTAAAGAAATGATCCTTCCAAGCACTATTCGAGAAAATCTGCAAAATGATTTACGATAGGCCTTCAAGAAGTGGTATCCTTAACATTAA